TACATTGAGTTGGCAACAATACCACGTATATTGACGTAATATTAATGTAGTATTTTTATATTTTGTTTTTAGCTTAAGTTTTTATTTTTAGTGATTTGATATGATTACTTTATGTCTCTGTACGCAGTAAAACTTTCCGAGGTAATACTTTCTACGAGAATCAAGGGCACGTTAAAATAAAGCAGACATTGGCTCGTGTTCTACAGAAATATTTTCGACATTCGCTTTTTCTATCAATTCTGTATTACGTATTACTGTATTCGGGAAGCGTTACTCTTATAAACGTAATAAGTATAGACTAAGCTTTTTTACGTCTAATTAAAAAGCGATGTAATTAACTGCATTCTCTTTCTAACGGAGCAGTTTAGAGATGAAGATTATATCATATACTTATCAGTCTATACCTATTACGTAATTTCTATATTAGTTGTGCCGATTTAATATGTTTAATACGTTAGTCAGTTCTCTTAAATATGTTAGTCAATTGCATTCAATACGACAAGTATATTCAATAATCTTAAGAAGTGAATTAGTAATACATAGTTGCTTGCCTATTTACGACAGAAATTACGTGCTTTGATGTTTCGTGAATGAGTTGAATGTGTAGCAACAATAGACGGATTGACGAATTGTAAACATTGAATTTTCTAATTGTAGAGTAACGAATCTAATACGTTATTATTATTAGGGATTTGTATGATGTATCAGGATTATACAATGCCATATTACGCCGAATCGCCGCCGACGCTTCGATCATTGTTCTCCGAAGTTACTCAGTTCCGTTCGCAGTACTCGCGCGACACTGTCCCGAGCGATTCAGTATTATATTGTACATCACGTGCGAAAGCCTTCGACTGCGTCCCGTTCAACGGTTAGATCCTTAAGCATTAGATCCTGTAGAATAGTCCTATTAGTCACACTTATTATTACTACACGAATGTAGATTTTGCGCTGTTGTGTCCAGAGCCCGTATTTGAAGACGCTCCGCAAGTATGGATTCAAGAACGAATCCAAAAGCTACGAATAAACGTGAGCTATACATAACGTTCGCTTTCCCTTTGATGTATCTACAAGAAATGACGATTGGCACAAATTTAATTAAACTAATTAATCGTTTCTATTCGCATATTGATACACATTGAAGCAAGCTCGTTCGTTTGTTTGTTCACGTTTATTCGTGCTCTTGGCTTCATCAGGATTCGCTTGGACGTACTAAAAAAATCTTCGCTTTCGAGTGCAATATGTCGTTCGACATTTCGTCGCACCAATTAGTTATTCATTCGTCGCGACTCTTTCTTGTCGAGAACATTGTTCTGTGGCAGTATGAATATGTTTCGCGTACGACTATCGATGATGGAGTTACGATATGTCTCTATATCGGATTGTTGTTGTCGTAAGCGCGATTTGAATACGGGCGAGAAGCGTGCGGATTCAGTGTAATACGGCAAAATATACGTGTACGCGAAAAATACACGTGACACACATACACACGCACACACATACATTAATTACAGAAGAGACATATAAGGGACGAGGAATGAAGCAGAGCGAACTCGTCCCGCGACTGTAATACAATTCGCAGAACGTACCGTGCCGTTCGGTTTTTGCTGATCGCAACAAACCAGCTTTTATAATTCGCGTGTAAGATCACCATCAGGGTGTAAGATCTTAATTAAAGTCGATTACATGTGTCGTTATAGTAAGGTACTGCGTATATAGCGAGAGGGTAAAAATTGAGAGAAAAAAAGAAAATTGGATTCAGTGAAAATAACAAAAACGAACTGAAGAAGAGAGAAAATATTAAGTGTGACTCTGAGAATGTAATTTTCGAGTGTGGACAAATCGAAGTTGCGTAGGAAAGAACGGGTCTTTCCGGCGCAATGGAGATGTCTTGACGGTCGTGTGTGTACATGAGACATTTTTGAAAGTAGCCCTGACTTCCGTGAGAGAGAGAGAGAGAGAGAGAGAGAGAGAGAGAGAAAATTAAGAACGATTAAAGACATTATGAAAGCATGCGTCATATGAAAGAGATGTACGAAATTTGCGTTTATCGCCGACGATTCGCGCCGGTTTATTCTATAACTATTATTTTTTTATCCTAATTACTATTAACTTCAATAACTACATAGATATGTATATATATCCCAGCAAATGAGAATGGATTAAAATTTTTTTCTATCCAAATTTTAAATAGCGCATTTTAAACAGCGAATATTTTTTTTGGATTTAATTGGATTTAATTGGATTTAATTAGATTCGATTGGATGCAATTGGATTGAAAAATTCCTGCATTTCCTATTCAAAATTTTGGATTGAACAGTATTCACAATGTATAGAAAAAGCTAATATTATTTTTAGATTGAAAGGCATAGAGAACTCCATGCAATTTCTATAAATGAATAAAAATGCATTCAGGATTGAAAAGCATTCATTTTAACATTCGTAAATCAATATTTCTAAAAATCATGCATAATGTATACATATTATCCCAGCAAACGAGAATGAATTGAAATGGATTCAGATTTTTAGAAATATTGATTCACAAATGTTATTGGTATATGATATATGGTATTATATACAAGAGGTCTGTTTTTTTATTGCTACACTTTCTGAACTGATACACACAGTGCAATAAGTTGAAGTGAAACAAGTATATGTTTGTTTCACTTCAACTTATTGTACTGGTTCAGAGAATATATCCCGAAATTTGCGAATCAAAACAAAGTTTTCAAAAAAATTAAGTAAACAGGTTGTATGTAAATTTTTATTTTAAGCAATACTTTGTGAAATTATAAAATTTCACACTTAGGCCCTCTTTTTTTATCATACTTAAATCTGTCTCTCTTTCGATTTAAAACGAGACAGAGAGTTTTAAGTCTTGCTAAAGTCAAAACAATGTTGGTGCAACCGGATCTTAACTCCTTATTATTTCACGAACTATTGCTTAAAATAAAAATTTATCATATTTAATATGATTACTACGTTTAAACACTAATCTGATGGTTCGTTAATATACCATACATGCGTTTTATAAATAGATGATTATCTAATCTGTAATAATTAATATTATATCTAAATTTTATTAATTGATTATATCTAAACTTACATCTTAAAAGTTATTGCTTAAAATAAAAATTTACGCATAACTTTTTTACTTGATTTTTTCGAAAACTTTCTTGTTGTGGTTTGATTCGTGAATTTCTGGACAATCTGTACACAATATTTATAATGTACGTATGTTTATAATATATATAGATATATATTAGATGAGTTCAATATTCCTATAACGAAGAACCACGTCCAACAATTCTTCCTTCAAAAAAGATTCCTCACTTCCCCCCGTATTCTTCCGCACAATACGTGTGTATAACACTTAATTTTAGCGATATGATAAGAATTTGATTATACGATTATGTTCAAAATATTTTGCCGAATCGTCACTTGAAACGCAGCGCATATTTCGATACACTCGACAAATATTGTATTGAATCGTGTATTGCAAGAGCTGTATTTTAAGGGTTGTAAGTACAGTAAAGAGTTATGTCCGAGTTATGGCGATAGAGAAGAGAGAAGCAAACTCGTCTTGTAATTTTAAGATTGTGTAACATGTGTTAGTGATCAAGCATGCTTCTTAGTAGGGAGTTAGGAACAACGCTATTACAATAATTATTATAATTAAAATTAATGAGTATAAGATATTTATAATATAAGTGAAAAGTATTTCCTAATAAAAAGTACTGCTGAAAAATATGTGGCTGTATGTGCTCTCTCATCAGTCTCGTGCGTTTCAGGTATGTCGCTCGGCGAATGACGACGATCTTTGTTCATTTTAGTTTCACTACGGGGCAACTGAAAGGTCGACGAGATTAGGATTTTTCTTATGAAAAGAGAGATATATATATGTATAGAGGTCTTCGTGGTTTTCTTCTCCTTTATTACGTGTGTCGTTCCGGTCGCCGACCTTGTTTTCACACCTCTCAAGGTCTCGTATGAGAATGAAATTTTTAACTTATATCAATCGACACTCAACTTACCGGTTTACCTCGCGTGATCAAATCGCCCTTCGCATCACTTTCTATCCAAACATAATTAATTCTCTATAATACTACGTGATTCGAAAATTCGGTGCATTATGTGAGGAAAATTTTAGATGAAAATGGATGAATCAGAAGAAGAATGGAAGAATCATCTTTTCTAGTTAAATCTATTATAATTCTCATTAAGATAATCAGATAATTACCAACTACATGATAATTACATGACCAGAATTCTGATATAATTAGAGATATAATCAGAATCTTATTGATATAATCAGAATTTTATTGGATTAATATTTTTTAAGTTTCGATAATTTATAGCTGTGATTTATTATTATATAATTTTTTTTTTTATGTAAACAGAAAGAATATCAAGGGGAGAGGCTATTTTTTTTTTACTTCAAAATTGACCATATGTACGAGGTAATTTCTTTCTTTTATTTACGCGCACACACATTCTCGTGCGGAGAAAAAGCCATCTTGTAGTCGATGTTATCTTCGTGTAAAATTTATAAGGATTTTGATATGAGATCTTTTCCAAAGTGATTACTCAGAAAAATGGCACTTCTCTGTTTGTCGCAGGAGGAAAATACCTCTCTCCCTATGCCCCTCGTTGGTTCCATGACTCCGGTATGACAGTCCCGCGAATGTTCTCGGCCGCATGCAGCTGGGAAATTCAGAGAAATCACGGGGTTTGGTTTAATTTCAGATCGGAGGATCAATGAACTTTTCGAAAGACGTAGTTGTAGACGACAGAACAGCACAGAGTTGTTGCAACGCTATTATCTATGTACCCAATGAGGTGAGGAAGGGATGAAGAATGGATACGGTGACC